TTCTCTCTCTGTCTGTCTCTCGGTCAAATTAAAACAAATAATAATAATAAATAAAGTTAAATAAAATAATTCTTTAAAAAAAAAAAAAAGAATACCCAAGGATGCAATATTCCTAGAAAAGGGAAGAACTTCTGCTGTGACCACTTAAAAGTTGGCTGTGAGGGGACTACGGGAGTCTAATAATGCCACTGAACACCTTTTACATTCGTACCCTAGCTCTGATCCTACATATTTTCTTTCCCTCCTAATTGTGCTTATTTTCTTAGACCCTTCCTTACTCATCTTGACCCACACCCAAATGCTCTTGTGGAAGAAAGACCATCAGAGACATCTACTTAGCTTTTACGTATTTTGTCATGCAAGTATACATTTTTAAAAGTTTCCTTTAGCACTCTGCCATATCCTACCTCAAATATATGATTCCATATTTACATCCTCGGGTTAGGAATGTAACGGGCAACGGCCTCTGAATACTGCTTTGTTTCAGAAAGCTTAGGATGGGGCCAGCAGGTGACGAGGTGGCTAAAGTGCTGGACACTTCCACCTGGCCAGCCACGGTTCGAGTCCTGAACCTGGTGGCTTGCTTTCTCACTTTCCTTCTTTCTATGTATCTGTCTTTCTCTGGCCAAATGAAAATGGTTGAATGAATAAATAAAAATTAAATAAATAATTCTTTAAAAAAAAAAAAAGGAAGCTCAGGGTGAAAGTTGTGGGCTGGTAGGTGGTGCATTGTTTTCTTGGTAAAGAGTTAATAGCTATGTGGAGGGTCTAGGCCAGAGGGACCACTGATAGATTTGCAGAGCTCCTGTGTCCTAAGCACGACACAGAAAAAGCTGAGAGCCAGAAGCCAAATGGGCCACGCTCACTAGGTACAGACACCTTGCAGGTGCCTCTATGTTTAAATAACCTGATGATCACCGATTGCTTGGAGGAGTCCGACCCAGTGAGGCCCCAGGATCTGTCTGAGCCCCCTGACCTTTGAGCTCTGCTTCCGGTCGGATCAACACGTTGGCAAGGCTACTGTTGTGCACCCCCCGACCTTGGAACAAAGCTTGGGTCAGTTAGCATGTCAGCAAGGCTGCTTGCTATTTGCTCCAGAGAATTGAGGCAGCCTCACTGGGAAGCGACC